GCCCGCACGGGTCACGGGTCGGCCCGCGGTCCCGGTTTTCACGGGCCGGTTTTCACGGGTCATGGCCGGCCCGTCCGTCTTGACACCTCTATTTTAAACGTATAAATAAATGTGTTGTGGTCAGTTAGTCTTTGTAAAATATGTATCCTAATCCTAATCCTAATTCTAATGTAATAACTATATAAAAGAGGTGGTTTTCCATGGCCACATGTTGAAACCTCATATCGTCCATCAAAACGACGCCGTTTAAACGTATCCTTTTTCTTTGGTCTTAGACTCATTTAGGCCTAAGCATCCATCCATCACTATAGAACTGTCTACATCGCCATAGACTGTCTACGTCCACTCCCTCGGTCGAAGTGAATCTCCCATCTGTAAGTGCTTTTATTTCATGAGAGCCTTTTTCCTCTTTTGTAGTCTGATTTTCCATTAGAGGTACTTTCTATTGTTTCTCAATGAAAATTTGCTGAACTCAGTCCGTCTCTTTTTGGCTGATTTTTGTTTCTGATAGAACGGTTTCTTTTAGCGGGTGGTTTTTGCAAAGTTCTGTGCCTCAGTTTTTGCATTTACTGGACATTTCATCGAATTGTTTTTGAGCATCACTCATGCCGAACTTTGAACCGACCAATAGATGTGTCCTTCTCGACGTTTGGCTCAGGAGCTTTCTTTTGACAGTCCCTTTAAGCTTCCTCCTTCTATTGTTACATTGAATTAAAAAACCACTTAAAAATATATTAAATCTCCACAAGGATATAAAAGTTGGAGTCAAGAACTTACATTTCCTCTCTTGTTGGTCCCGATCTGTAAAGCTCTCTGTTTTTTGACTGCAATATTTCGATTTTTTTTCCTGTGAAACTGAAAAAGAGCTGTGGAAACACAGTGCAATAAAGGAGTGATATTTGATATTTTGCAAATTTCTCTTTGATGATCAAGAACTGAAAAAGGATAGTGGAATATTAAAATATTATGGTTCATATCTATTCTCTTCTTGTGTTTCATTTCGGTTCATTTCACAGTTCATGTTTCTGTTTGTAAACACACGGTGGTTCTGTGTCTCACGACTATTGCCGTCTCTGACAAGTGTCTGATGGAGACACGTTAGTTTTCTTCTTTTTGGGTTCTTTGAAAGTTTCTTTTTTCCTCTTTCTCCTTCTTTTATTTGCTTTGGTTGCTGATTTCTTTTTATCCTTTTGTAATTCTAATTCATTACGTGTATTTATCTAGGTTTTATATCATTTTATATAGAAAGTTAAAGAATGAGATATTGATGACAGGTGTTGTAGTATTTCATTTTGTCTATATGCAGGGGGAGGAAATTTATTTGTATTGGTTTATATGTTTTCTTTTGCTTCATACTTATTTTTACCAATATTTCTTTTCTTTTCCCTTCGTCATGCTTTAGTTATTTCTCTTATGGATGCTGTTGGTGATACAAAAAAGCGTAGCAGAGAGATTTATGATAAAACAAAAGACTCTCGAAATTCACGTCGCAGACAATTATACGCTGAAGCACGTGATGCATGGCAACAAAAACTACATGCTCAAACAAGAGCAAATGGAGTTAGACCTAATCATCTTACAAAGAGAAGAATAGAAGCAGGTATTTGTATAGAGTGNCAAACAAGAGCAATTGGAGTTAGACATAATCATCTTACAAAGAGAAGAATAGAAGAAGGTATTTGTATAGAGTGCACTTACAGTCAACTTCAGGGAAATCGTTCGATATGTGTTACGCAAATATATTCTTAGTTGTTTTTGTAGTTTTCTACTATTTATGTGAATTGATATAGAGAAGTTTGCTTCTTTTCTTTTCCCAATTGATTTGACTACGCTTGATCCAGTGTGAAATTCAACCATAACACTTTAGAAATATTTATATCTGTACATCTTTCGTGATGTTCTTCCCTTCAGGTTCTGTTAAGTTTTTTAATCTCATTGAAAACTTTGACTTTTTTTTTATGAAATTGTCAAACTGAAGGGCATGGTGGATATAGCCTTCAACTTCAAGGTCATACGGAAAGTGTTGCACATCAGGACGATTTTGAAGCTAAAACAGGTAACTTTACATTTTTTTACAATTTTTTCTACCTTTGTTAACTAATGTTGACGACATCTTATTTTATTGTAGTTGCTGGCTGTAGTCATAGTGCGTCTTCCCAACCTACATTTTCTACAACAGATTGTGATAATCAATATAACTTTCACTCAGATGATAATCAGAAAAGTCCAAACTTTAAACATTCCAACTAAATCTCATGTACTCGTACAACCAACAATTTGTTCATATTGTGGTGCAAAAAAAATGTATAGAGAGAGTATAGGATTCTGTTGTTCCGATGGCAAGGTTAAATCGCATATACATAATGTACCCACTGAAGTATATGAATTATTTACTTCAAATTCAGTACTAGCATTGAATTTTTAAAAAAATTGCAAGAAGTTATAACAACCATTTTGCGTTTACATCTTTTGGTGTTAAATGTGACAAGGATTTATGCAAAATGAATAAAGGAATTTATACATTTCGGGTTCAAGGTCGAGTTTATCATTATATAAACCAACTTCTGCCACCTGATAATAACCCAACTTATTTACATCTATATTTCTATTATACTGAAAATGAATTATCACATCGATTGAAGCTTTCAGATAAATTTTGCGCATCAACTTTACAGATATTAATTGATGTCTCAGGGATTAATCCTTTCTCTAGATTCTTTCGTTCATTAAGCAGTATTGATAATTTACATACATGTCGAATACAAATAAAATGTCATCCAGGTTTAGACCAAAGGGTGTACAACACTCCAATAGCATCACAAGTAGCTCCATATTCTGCTAAAATTCATTCAATATGGTAATACATTTTTTTATTAAAAATTAAAAA